AGTCTATTCTCCATGTCTGTGAGTCTGTTTCTTTTAAATTGTAGATGGAAAGGGGGCTGAAGTGCTTTTTCCCTAAGCTCTTATCGAGCTGTTTCGGCAGTGGAAGCTGAATGCCAAGGGGCTGAAGGCCAAGGCGGGCTGGCGTGGCCCCGGCGAAGTCGCCTCGGCTGACAGGCTTGTGCTGTGACACAGCGCCGATCGCCACTGCCCAGGTTCCAGCCACGATCCCACCCTTAGCCTCCCCATTTGCCTCTCTGTTCCTCCCTTACCCCCTTCCATACAGCTGCCAGCGGGATACTTAGAACACAGTTCTCCTCGCTTATTATCTGATACTTGTATTAGTTTGCTAGGGCTGCCAGGATAAAGTACCACAGACTGGGTGGTTTAAACAACACAAATTCATTTTCTCACGCTTCTGGAGTCTGGAAGTCCAAGATCAAGGTGTCGGCGGGGCTGGTTTCTTTTAGGCCTTGCTCCTTGGCGTGTAGACAGCGGTCTCCTTGCTGTATCTCACACTCACATCCCTCCGTGTGTGTCTGTGTCCTAATCCCTTCTTCTTATAAGGACACCAGTCACACTGGAGCAGGGCTCACCCATATGACCTCATTTTAACTTAACCACCTCTTGAAAGACCCTCTCTCCAAATACAGTCACAGTCTGAGGTGCTGGGGGTTAGGACTTCGACATAGGAATTTGCAGGCCACACAACTCAGTCCAGGATTCTGTTTTTCTTCCCTGTATGCCAACCCAGTGCTGTGCTCTGGAATGTAGATGTGAGATGCCAGCCCTGTTACTGTTACAATTCTGCTTAAATCTTCAGTTCTCCTGTGGCCCAAACTTAGCGGAAGCCATCAAGGTACAGGCGTTGCCCCCTCCCCAGCGTGGACCCCACCAACCCTCCTTGAGCTGCAGCCAGGCCAGACCATTTTCAGACCCAATAGTGCCACCCAGCACCATGTCCCGAATGGCCCAACCCAAGACAAGTTGGTGTGATCCAGGCTAGCGACTGTCTCAAGGTGGAGAAGCCACTTGGAGAAACGCCTCTTTTCACTTGTGTTTCTCCCCATGGGAAGGTTTGACTAAACCCCATGGTTGGGAATTCCCTGGTGGTCCAGTGGTTAGGACTCTGTGCTTTGAGTGGCTGAAGGTCCAGGTTCCATCACTGGTTGGGGAACTCAGATCCCGCAAACCACGCGGTGTGGCCATAAACAAACAAACAAACAAACAAACAAAGCCCACGGTTCTCCCGACTCTGAAGCTCCAGCCGAGGCTTTATCAGTTGTCTCCGGAACCTTGGAGGGAAGGACCTGTCTGCGGCCCATGGACCAAGCAAGGCCCTTGAATGTTCAGAGTGAAGGCGGCCGACCAAGTCTTCCGGAGTAAGGTCACCCTTGTTAAGGAGAACATGCCGGGAGAATGCACTTGGAACCAGCAGTGGTTTCACTGTCCTTTCATGCTTTGGCATTTTGCTTTGTTTTATTCATTAGTATTTAAAAAAGTTTAAAGTAGACAAGTCCAAAGGCTAGTATGCACTCACCACTGGGGTCCGGCCCCCGAGGACACCCTCCTCTGGTGAGTACATCACATTCCTGCCAACTCAGCCTGTCCACTCAGCGGGAACGGAGCTTACACTCTGCCATATTTGCTTGAGAATTTGTTTTTTGGATAAATTTATTTATTTACGGCTGTGTTGGGTCTTCGTTGCTGTGCACGGGCTTTCTCTTGTTGCGGGGAGCGGGGCTACTCTTCGTTGCGGTGCGCGGGCTTCTCATTGTGGTGGCTTCTCTTGTTGCAGAGCATGGGCTCTAGGCGCGTGGGCTTCAGTAGTTGTGGCATGCAGGCTCAGTAGTTATGGCTCATGGGCTCTAGAGTCCAGGCTCAGTAGTTGTGGCGCACGGGCTTAGTTGCTCCACGGCACGTGGGATCTTCCCGGACCAGGGTTCAAACCCCTGCACTGGCAGGTGGATTCTTAACCACTGTGCCACCAGGGAAGTCCCGAGATTTTTAATAGAAACAATATGTTAGACATAAAGGTGAGTTCTCTCATATTCTCCTTCCCGGTTCAATTTATCTCACCCTGGCATCATCTACCACCATGAACTTGGTCTGTTCAGTCCTGGTTTTACCGTACAAACACATGCAGGCGCATGCGCGCACACGCACACACACCGTATACATATATGTGAATACACGTATAATACATGTATATATAATACACACATATACACAGATGTATGTACATATACACATATCTATAAACTATACAAGGTATGGTTTATGTGCCTTAAAATGCACACAAATAGTACCATTAGCATAGTATTCTACAACTTGCTTTTTTAGCCCAATGTTAGATTTGAGCTTTGTTTATGCCCACACTCACAGAGCTCCAGGTCATCGTTTTTACTTGCTGTATAATATTCCACCCACACTGACTCACGATTCATTTACCCATCCCCCTACTGAGAGTCGTTTGAGTTGTGCCCGTTGGTGATTTAAACCAAACCCAGTTTAGTTGAGTCATGTAAGCAATTCCTATTTCATGCCTTTTGGGGTGCCCTGCCCCTCGGGATGCTGAAGATTAAAGCAAATCGGGTGTGGCCGTGATGCCCAAGTGGACGCTCCGTGATGTCGATTCCGCTCCTTCTTTGTCCTAAATCTTAACCCAGTGTCAGTGCGTTTTGGCATCCTTTTCAGCCTGGCCTCTGCAGCTGGGAAATGCTCATATATGGTGGTGTGACTAAGCAGGGAGACGTCAGGGATCCTGAGAGCGTCTGTGTCTCTGGCTTGATCCCCACAGGGCGAGCAAGCACTCAGAAGTCCCCCACCCTCACCCAGGTCCCTGAGGCTCTGCCCCAAAGGGAACTCCTCGGGAGGAAGGCCACATCTCACCCACTCCAAGGAGTCAGGCCTCCCCCTAGATGGCGGTTATATTTATCTGAAGCGTAAGCTCGGTCAGGACCCTGGAGAGTTTCCAGGGTTGGAGATGGGAACTGCTGCGTTCCCATAGCTCCTCCGTTGCAGCTCTGCCTCCTGGGATGCCCCGGATGCGCCCTTGAGGATGTCCTCCTCCAGCTGCCAGCTTGCAGCCCCAGACCACACGACCCATGAAAACCCTGCTGTTGCCGGTATAGGAGAAGACCAGAGGGGCCACCCGGGGTTCCGGGTGGGTCAGTGTCCAGGCTTGGCTGCCTCCCCGCCACCCAGGGGGGCCCTGGAGCCCCTCCCTCCAGTTCCCCGCGCTGTCCTTTCAGGCCTGTCCTGCTGGGTAGGGGCTGTAGGTTTCCTCGCCTGTCATCCAACTGGGAGCTCCCTGAGGCCAGGACAGTGCCCTTTTCATCTTCGTGTCCCGGCACCCAGCACAAAATAGGTGTCTAATAAAGGTCATTGGGTGACTGACTGACTCTCCTTGGGAGTAAATCAGAGGCAAGAGGGTGAACGAACACACTCATTCAAGCCCTGCCTTGTCTTCTTGGACCAGACAATAAGCCAGGAGGAAGACCATGCTTTGTGACCTTTAGTGTGACCCCATGGAACCAGGGTAGCATGATGGAAAATCCCGGACCCTCAGAGACACCACACCTGGGTTCAAGTCTTACCAGTGGAGCGGCCTTGGGACCAGCACTTCAAGCCTCAGCCTCCTCCCTGTGAAATGGGAGTGATAACAGGCCGACCTCCTGGGTTGTCGTGAGGATTGGAAATGGCATAATGAGGTGACGGGCCCGTGTAGACGCTCAGGAAGGGTTCTGGGAAGGAACACAAGACACAGCGGAAATTCACCTAATAAATTAACTTCGGACCGTGGAATTTTAAAATTACTAAGTGTATTCCAAGACTAAGGCAGCTTTTCCTAAGACACTAAGAAAGGTTAGTAAGCGGCGTTATTTGGGAAAAGGGCCTGTAGCCCAAAGGCAAGGAGGGATCATCAAGATCCTTGTTGGGTCATAAAGTGAGGGGTTCACCGCAGTCGGCACCGGGGGTCTCTGAGAGGGGTGAATCCCAACCGATGTGACCACGAGGCCGTGCGCCACGGCCCCCAGCCCGGCACGTGTCAGGGTTAGGGTTCCAGAAATACTCCTTGGGAAGTGCAGCTCCAAGATGGGCCTTGCAGGACCGGGAATCCCAGCCACCATCTTCTGTCCCCTCGGCCCTACTGATACAGTTGTTGGGTACGAATAACCCATATGAACCACTAACTTAGCAGCCAACAGGGTAACACCCGGCAGTGCCTGTAACGGGCTCATTGTCAGACAGAAGCTGCCTGAGGGAGGCCTGCATGCCGGCCTGTTTAGGGGGTTTGCCAGGCAGGGATGGGATGAGAGTGGGTACACAGATACCCCTTGGAGGTCCTCTCTCTTTCTACTGTCACTTTCTCCAAGGAGCAAATCGGCAGAGTGCACGGCTGGGTCCCTGGCTGGGTCCTGGAAGTTCGTGTCGTAGTGTGTGATGGTTACACGGGTGGTGCCCGGTGGAAGGGCCGTGATAGGTGGGGCCTCATGCGGTGATAGGTCTGCGGATGCCTGACAATCGCTTTGGTAACTGAATCTTACTTCACAGGGACCAGGAAGTTTGCCACTCACGTTGGTTCACAGCACGTCCTTTCGTGATGTGAAAGGACTTTAGCAATCTCTTTGGGGGGCAGGAGATGGGCCGCAGACCCACCGCAGTCCTGAATGAGTCCAAATGCTGACTCAGAGTGAGAATAGATGGCACCATGAGAAGTTTAGTCCAGGAGAGACCGAGCCAGGATGTCCCATGTGGCATCAGGCCGCTTGCCTTGCTGGAGACCCTTGGCTTGAATCCCAGCTCCACCACTTCCTGCCTGTGGGACCTTGGTGGTTTAGCTTCTGTGGCCTCAGTCTCCACATCTGCAGAGTGAGGAGAATGACGTCCGGTCCGGCCAGTGCCGACTCCTACCGCCCTCTGCTTCTTTTCAGAGCGCACGAGCACCTCAGGAGCCCAGGCCACCCTGTCATCCCAGCCCTTGCTGCCGGCGCGGAGCCATGAGCTGTGTCCTGAACGGCATTGTGCCCTTGGGGCTGGTGCTGCTGGTCTGTGGAGCGCAAGGCTTTTTCCTGCCCAATGTCACACACCTAGAGAAGCTGCTCAGCAGATGCCAGCAGGACAGACCCCACTCCCGGGTCCGGAGGGCCATCCCCAGGGTGGACAAGGAGGACATCCTCATGCTTCACAACAGGCTGCGGGGCCAGGTGTCACCGCCGGCCTCCAACATGGAGCACCTGGTGAGCGCGGGGGCACCACGGGGTCTGGCCCCATCCGTGGGGGGAGGGGTGGGGGATGGCAGGCTTGGGGACTCCTGGTGAGAGAGGGCCCCCTGCCTCTGTTCTGGATGCCCTACCCGATCAGCCGATCAGCCCGAGCTGCCGGCCCTCCTGGAGGGGGAGGGGGAGGGGGAGGGGGAGGGTCAAGGGCTGGGCAGCTCTGCTACGTCTTCAGCATGTGACCTTGACGTCTCCTTAGCCAGTCTGAGCCTCAGCGTCTACTTTGGAAATCCCACCTCACGTGCCCCCCCCCCCCCCCCCCCCCCCCCCCCCCCCCCCCCCCCCCCCCCCCCCCCCCCCCCCCCCCACCGCCT